CATTCATAGTGCGTCATTACCGAGGAACGCCACCCTAAGGCGACGTAACGCATGTAGTGACATCACAACCGATGCATGCTGGGTTACAACGGAGATTTTGATTGAGGTAACAAAGATGGCGGCGCAGAGTGCATGTTTTTCCGCGATGTTTAAAAACAACATTTCGATTCAACATGGCGATTTTGATGTAATTTCTAAGTTAATCATCAATGAATCGTTTTAATTAAGCAAACATTCTAAGTTTGTGTATTTTTAAACAAAAAGTCAGGGACCGATGATCGCAACAGCAGCGGTGAATACCCGTTCAACGCAATGCCGTAAGCTGACAATGTTACGGTGATCGTAGCGTTACACAAATAATAGATAGATCAATGAAAAATCGCTGACTTTAGTTTTGAAATGCCATTGTAAAAAAAAATGTCATTATTGATTTATTAATTTCCTCATACAGATTTTACAAACAAATTTCTCCCCCCCCCCCCATATCCAGATTTCACACATACTTCGCACCACAAGTATGTACATCCATTTGATCATGAACTACCAAAGTAGTCCAATGGTGGCCCTTTATTTTTTTAAATTTGTAACCTCCATCAAGTTTTATTGCCCACTCCTGGTAGTATTCAAGCATCATCTCCCTCCTAAACCTAAGCCCCACAATGCACTATGTTCCAAGGTTTATTAGAAAGTATACAGTGATTTAGTTTATAAGGGGGCTGTACATTACATGACTTGCCCAGCAAAGGGGGTTGACCACACATCTCCACTAAACTGTAAGTCCAGTGAATCCCCCACAAACATCCCCGCTCCCACCTCCAGAGTCATACCCAATGTTTTTTGATAAATTACCAATTATATCATTGATTGAATCACATAATACTGTTGAACCTTTCTTTTTAGCTAACATATAATTTTAGCTAATCCATAATTTCACTAATTCAAAATAAATAAATGAGATCGTTGGCACTGAATTCATTCAGTGATCCAAATTCGCTAAACTGGCATTTAGCTAGATTAACGTGTTCAACAGTAGTTCACAAATCATGGGCAAGGTGATCAATAGTTTCATTATGTTTTTGTTTTTTTGTAGGCGGGAAAAAATGAAGGCTGATCGCTACTGCAAATGAGAGAAGACAATTATTCGATTTTTAATGTTTGATATTTGTCTGTGTATACATGTACATGTATACTTGTGTAGACAGATTTTAGAAATAACAGATCTACGAAAAGTCAATAAAGACACTACTTTTTTTTTACTCCTTTCTTGTGTTTGTTTTACATTGTTATGTATGTGTACATCTAGCTGCTCAAAACGCTATTATTGTTAATATCACCAACTGTAATTTGAACAGATTATGGTTTTATGAACCTGCTCTAATATTTGTTCTTTCAGAAAGGCATCTCCAAGATAAAAACTTTGGTCAGTTGAACTTGAGAGTACCGGTACATCATTTTATGGCAGCCATGTTAGTCGAGTAAGCGCATGCAAGCGCATGTCAAAATAGTCAGATAGAAATGTACATGTATATTTTATTGTTGGTGTGCTTGTGAGACAGAGTTGACTTTCTTTATTCATGCTTATAATAGTTTATTATCTTATTCCGTATTTTCATTCTTCAAATTTTTTTTGGTTTTAATGATGATACCAGTAGTCAGCAGCCATTTGGCACCAACCGAGTATATTGCTGCTGTTAACATCAATGCCATGTTATCAATTTATAACATTATTGCATCACCCAGGCCCATATTTATCTCATTTGCTCTCCTGGTACATGTAGAGATGTTCTTGTGTAAATGACAGAAGTGTCTGTGTTCAAAATAAGTTGTATTTTTATCATCCTGTATACAGTAAATAAATAAAGTACAGTAAACCTAAGACTTACTTGCAGCAAAAGTTGAACAATTGTAGAAAATTGCATGCTTGTATACCCATATCCAGGATGTCACAACTGGTGATTAACATAACTCATAAACATAATTTTTTAAATAATCATTGTCATCAATAATTTCAACTTATACTTTGCAGTGTTTACCTTTGTTACTACTACTGTGGAATACTTTATTTTCGCTGGAATTAATTTTCGCTGAAAAGGCTTTTTGGGCATTTTGTAGGGAATTTATTTTCACTGATTTTTGATGAGTTTAATGTGAAATATAGGAAAAAAAGTATATTCGCTGGATTTTATTTTCACGGAATCATCCTTTCAGCGAAAATAGTGAAAATAAAT